AGTGTCAAAACTGTGTCACTGTCAGGTCCCTGATGTGTTCTGTTGAATATCGATAAATTCCTTTACTTTTTCGGATTTTCATTCAATCAAGCATTCTTCTTTCTGTTTAGTCCTGGTAGTTTATTTATTCAGGTTTGCTAGTTGTGTCTTCATCATGTATTTACAGCCTTCTAGCGTATGAAATGAAATGTAGTGCTCATAACCAGTGATCAACTCCACAGCAAGAATGGTCGAATTTTATTTTGGAAGGCATTGGTAAGGATATGATTTTTCATGTACACTTTTCTGATGATTTTCAATTTCAGCCTCGATTCCACCATTAGAACACTGGTGTTAATTCTGGTGTTGAAGTTTGTGTCAATGATTTTGGAAGACACTATAGAGTGATGATCAATAGCACTACATATGGCGACTTATCAGGATCGGGACATACATTCATACACATACAGGATGGCTTACCATAATTTTCAAGGTATGTTTAGTCTGCATTGTTGTTGCGTAGCTAGGTAGGGTAGGAGTAGTATTGTTGAAAACTGTTTCATGTGAGCCTGATGGTTCAAGCCATCAATGCAATGTATTCAAATTTAAATTACCATATACCTACAGGATGGGCATCCCAAAAAGCAACACCAAGAATGAAAGAGGAATGGAATTTAAGGTATGCTCTTTGAATCCCAGAGAATCATCAGTCTAGGCCAACATCTGGAGTTTTTTCGAGCGCCACAACTACAATTTGAGGTATTTTGTGTTCTTGCTTCCTGGCAAATATCACAGAATAATGATACTATCAGAGATTTTCAAAAATGTTTTTCACTGCTGTGATGATTTTGTCACAAAAATTTAAATTAATTATTTGGCCTAAGTTTATGTATTATATGTATGCCCATCTATCAATGAGATCCTGTATAGCTTTCTTGTTTTCTTGATAGAAGTATGAGATGGTATGTGAAATAAGGTAAAATGTTGTCACTGATACTAGCCCACTAACTATAGCTTCCCTAAGTAGATCTAAAAAGATGAAAAGAGTGCAAACTTAGCTTTTGAAATGCATATAACTATTTCTGTCTCCACAAAGTTTTGAAAATGGTTGAAAAATATGGATTGATAGATAGATGATATGTATAGAAAGCATTTATTCAAGTAATATAATAATTTCATTCCATAGACAGTCACCATAATAAACATTTTTTTTCCATTAAATTAGCTGATGATGAGCTTATATTTGAACTCAAAACATGCTTCTTCTCTGCTGATTTCTGAACAGATAATAGGAATTGTGGGATACACAATAATATATCATCTTCCTCTTTCATTTCCAGTGTCCAAAGGATCTCCAGGTAACCTAGCTTCATCCTCCAAAGTCAAGATCCCATATTCAAGCCATTTTATATTCATTGTGATGCCATCCCCAAAATCTATAAAGAAATGTTGCTAAAGAATATTTGATGATTTTTTAGCTGGCATAGTTCTATCAATTTTGCAATACAATATTTATCTGTATATCTGATATGAAATATATAAGTATGAAATGATAAATTGATATTTAATTAGCTATTCATGGAGATACCTGATATTGTAGTTAAAATGCCTGATTATTTTTCTGAACCCTCACCTAATTAAACAACTGTTCACAAAGCTCACATTATAATAAATATTCTGGTTATGCATAGATAGCATCATCAGAATTGAATGTCTCCAGTCATCATTCAATCAAACCTCATGAAGAGCTGCTTCAACATTGTGTTGAGAAAATTCAGTATCTTCCTGAAAATACAAATTAAGAAATATCACTTGAGATCACAGATTTCGTGAAACAATATGAAATGTTGCAGTTCATTTCACTTTGAGAATACAGCAGTATCTGGTTATTAGGGCTACCATGGCTCTTATTAGGCAGTTAAAAATTCAATCAAAGAAATAATTGAATATGTCCTTACCTATTCACGAATTGACGAAGATGATTTCCACTTGAATGGCATTATTATTTATGCATATAATAGCGTTATTTGGCATGAACACTCCCAACCACTTCATTTTGTTGGCCTTTTCACAGTTTTACTTGGTATCTCGAACAAAGCTCTCCAATCTCGAGTGACAATGAGTGACAGGCTGACAGTAAGAAAGCATCATGAATGCAGGTTATGTTGAATAGCTCATTTGACACAGGAAATAGATGACGCCACTTGCCGTCCCTTCAAAATTTCATTACAGGGCGATTTGGCGATTTTCGCTGAATGAAGAGTCATGTATAACCCGTCAGACAGTCCATTTAGCCGTCATTGCTCTGGAGTAGCTCCGGTGTTACCCACAAAGTCAAATAGAAAGAATCTAGGTAGAACACAGATGCCATTTCCTTACAAAATGATCTGAATCTGTTGAAGAACTTTTGTTCAATAAAAAATTATCGCTCAATGTCAGCAGATGTAAGGTGATAACGTATTCACGAAAAAATACTCCTCTCATGTACCATGATGAATCTCTAACACGAGTCACACAACACAAGGACCTGGGTGTCATATATGACTGCAAACTTATATACCTTCTTAGTTATTATGAAACAATGATTTCCAAAGCTATGAAATTCTTGGGTTTTTTAATTCGTACTTGTAGTGAATTTTATTCATTAGAAGCACTTTGTCAGTTACTTACTTTAGTTTGGTTAGAAGTGAACTGAAATAGTGCAGTCAGGTATGGAATCCGTACCACCAATAAACAATGTCTGCTATATTGAAATGGTACAGCGTGAATTTTTAGAATACTCATTTCACAAAAAATACAAAGTCTACCTCAAAAGGAACTATAATTATGACCTTCTAGCTGTTGAATGAGTTCAAGTTCCAATCGCTGAAGAAGAGGAGAGAAATAGGTGATTTACTTTTTGTTTACAAAATTATACACAATACTATAGACTCTTCAGTATTACTTTCGCAAATCGAGTTCAGTATACCCCGATTAGCGTCTCGGTATCAAAATACATTCCACATTAATGTGTCTAATACACAGCACCATTTTCATTCCCCAATCAATTCAATGTGCAGAAATTATAAAAAACCTGTAAATGTAGACATATTGTTTCTCACCTCGAAACAATTTGAATGAACCATTTCCAGTTTAGTTCCTAACTAAAATTTTAACTAACTTAGATTATACCTAGTTGAAATTACACTCAACCATATGTATAGTAATCTCTATTATATACTCATGTAATTGGGCCTTGGCCTGCTGGATGTATTACAAATTAAATAAATAAATAAACTAATATTGGTTGAATATTTACCCAAATTATGACACTAGAAAGAATTCATCCAATTGTGGAGAAACTCCGAATGAATGCCCAATGAATCGAAAATCCTACAATGAATAATTGTTTCATTTGAAGAAACACAACGTAAACCGATATTGATGAGTATAGATGGTTAACATCTAATGCATATCTTGTGGAATGTGAAGAAATTGCATTTCATAAAATTAATTAAGATATTTCTTTGGTGCTACAGCTCGGTCGTTGGCCAATTTTCTATATATATATTTATATATCGCCCCCACGTCTTGAAATCGTGTCATAAACGGATAATGTGAGGATTTATACTCCCAATTATGTCTAATATTACGACCAAAGTGCACATATAACAGCGTTTAGCTCGATAAGTGTCTACCGTATCTTCATTATATCACCTTGTGAGGTAATTTCACTCCTACAGCTTCCAGATAGCCGTAAACAACCGTTTTCTCTCATTTTATTCACATTTCGTCGATACGTTGTGGAAGAATATTAGTATCGTTCGAATCTGAACAAATTTGGGTCATTCTAAGAATTTCACATCTTGAGTAATTTAGTTATGAAAATTGAATGATTCTATGATAATTTATCAATAGCATCCTGCAAATTCGTTCCATCTTGAACCCAGCTAGCACCAGATATTCATGGGATGTTTTGTCAGTATGCGGTTTGGAAGATATGTCCATAGATATTATAAAGATATCCAGCAATTCAAAAATTAATCCTTTTTCCATAAACATAGCAAATTTATTTTCATTATAATGAGAATATTCAAAAATCATAGTTCTCTGGATATTCTTTTATTTTGGATTAAATCAGGTATTGAATTCGTCCAATTTACAATATTCATTGCAAATCCGGTTTCGAATGTCCAAAATTTATTTTATCAAGAATATTCTCAATTCGGAGTTCCATGAATATCTTATGATCATTTGTTTTGGAATCGTATACCATGTCCGGTACTAAGGTGAATGAATCTCTAGGGGGTATATAATAGTCATTTTGTTACTTTTTTCAAACTAGGTATATATATTTCCAGGAAGTCATATTCATTCTTCTCTTTGTTCTATTTTAATTGACTTTAGGGCAGCATACAGTTTCCAATTTTCAAATGGATGCAACTAATTGCTGCAGTTCATATTTGCAGCAATAATAATATACAGGCAATTTTACACTGACTCGGAATGACCTGAATGCAATGTTCGTTTATCAAAAAAATCTGTATTTTTCTTTTTATTAACTTTCGATTTGGGTGAAAGAAACCATGAAAACAGTAATAACATTCAATTTGCATCAGATGGTGCTTAAATAATGCATGTTTTAATGAAAATCCACCATTTTATCAGTTATCAGTAGAACTGTCCTAACGAACATTGCGACATAAAATATGCTGCAATATTTTGTAAAATTACAAACTATAACGGTTTTTATGAGTCTTTTTTTTTATCTGATTTTCACAATTTTTTTATGTAGCAAACTTCACGAACGATATAATTCTCAGATCAAGTAACGGCCGAGTCAATTCAATATTTTTTCTATGAATACAAATTGAAAAATTGGTCTGTTATCATCTTCTGAGGGGTGGTCTACCCCTCACCGTAGGACCGGCCTTGATAATGTCGAATATTATTTGCAGATTCGTCTCCGAATATCTCGTAATTTTAAAAAATACGCCGTCGTATATACTCAATTCTCATCTCACGATTTTTTTCCATTGCAGGGACCTTACCAGCAACAATATATCAGTCATCAATGAAACTTCTATGGCTCGGTATCCTCTTCTAGAAGAACTGTGAGTAAAGATTAGTTCTTATTATGATATAAAATTAAATGAAGTTCTTCAATGAAACAAAACACGAGATGTTTCGCCAATCATAGTAGCTACTTCAAATGATATAGTCGTACAATGAAAACAAAAAAAAATCACAGGAAGAAGCTACCACGAAATAATATATTGTTTTATTAGGATCAGAAGTTACACTTTGTTTGACGAGCGGATTTCGCATTTGCAAGGCGGAGTGTTTAGCGAAGCCGTGCGATAGCGAAATTTGCGAGTCAAACAAAGTCACTTTTGATCCGAATGAAACATGCTATTTTTTGCAACTGGAACAATTAACTCAAATAAATATGTGAAGTAACCACCAATGTCGTGCCATATTTATGCATTTATGTGGTGAGAATATTCTACCTGTATTAACAGCAGGTTTATTCAATTTTCAAGGATGTTCGAATTGTAGTTTCAATATAAATACAACCACAGAGTGACATATTTGTGTATGGACCAGGTGCTCCAATGGTAAATACCGCGCCAGTGCCGGGTATAGGAACAAGAAGTGGAAAATGTTAGGTTAGTGAGCATATCAACAATAATAATAGCGATTATTTATTCCTCTCCATACTACATTGAGTTCGACTTAATAATCAAATGGAGGTAAAGAATATCATTGTTCGAGACAAAAACCTATTGCTTGCCGTGAATATTCAAAAACAAGTTATCCATCCCGAGAATAACGAATGAAATACAAATCAAGCAAGTGTGTGAATCTTGAAGCCTTCCTTGAACAAAACAATAATACTTAACTGAGATGTTTATGATTCCTATACTTAACTATAATGAGGTGTATTTATACATGGGTGTGAAAGGCCAAATCTGCTGAAATCGGAAACAAATCAGGTATACGTACCAACCCAAATAACCAACCGTAACAATGTTGTTTATTCTTGATGACATCTATTACATCCTTTTTAGTTCCTAGGAGCTGAAGTTCAACTTTAGCTCTTAGGAACTAAAGTTCAACTCTAGCTCCTACGAACTAAATATGTTGCCTAGCAACATACCTATGTTTGTGTCAGTAATAGCTAATGGACGACTTTTGTGCCGGTTGCAGAAAAATGTTGTTTTGTGTTTGTGTAAATTTCATCATTTTACATTCTGTATGAATTAATTCAAAGCGTAGATGTCGGGGACCCCTTTACGATCTATTTTTTAAATTATGGTGGCTTTCGGTAACGCCATTTTGGATTTTCCGAATAAATAAATCATAGATTCTACTCGGATCGTTTTGAATGAAAAAATCTCATTTTTGGTGAATGAGAAGCGCCCCTGTTTCTTTCGGGAATAGTGTCTGTGATATATCCTTGAGACTTCGACGGGTGAATGGACGGTGAACTGCCTTTTCGTCCTCGTTTTCTTCCACGGAAGTCCGTGATCAGCCGGATATCCGACGATGTGTTTGCGATCTCCGAATATTCCCGGAGTATATGGGATCGCATGGCGTTGATGAAATTGGTGGGGGATGAAATCCATTCGACATTGATTCACCCATTTAAGGCAACAATAGATCCTATACCTCTATGAAATAATTACTATTTGATGTACCTATTTCGGGGTTTATACTCTGATCATCGTCAGTCAACGAAACATCAGGGTTTGCAGAGGTAGTTGATTTTGATTTGCTTTGTCCAAACAGTATACATCTTATTGACAAACTTACAATTTCCTAATACTATAAACATAGATCTATGAATTTCTTTGAAACTCAATGTCACGATATAATAGATGGTCAGTCCATCCATGTTAGGATATTAGGGTTGATTCCACCATGTAATGACATATAGCGGTAGGACCTCCACTATGTCACAACATGGGGTTGGTATTCCACTTTTATCGATTCATAAGGGGTTAGCTTGGCTTGCGAGAGGTAATATTCCAATAGGCACTAATAGATCTAATACATTATAATGACATTATAATGATGACCATTACCGATTCTTGTCAAGTCAGGAGTAGCTCCAGACCAGACTTACTTCGGAACCCTCACATCCAATATTCATAAACATAATTTTATTTATATCTCATTATAATCTCTCGAGAGTTCATGGGTCAATTTCAACGGATGATTTGATTGAATTTATGTTTATAAACCCTCACTAATATACCATATGTTCTACTCTCATATTGTCATTGTCAAACATTCACACAAACAAAAATAATCATAATTATAATATATTATTATAGTTACAAAATCTAAATGTTATTTTTTCACTCACAAAACTAAAATGGCACTTAGTGTACGGAAATGTACCACGCTAAATGATCGATTAATGACAGATTGGCGGTCGGTTATTTATTCAAAAAATTATACATCTACAACCGATATAACTTGTCTCGTTGGTTACATGCTGTTGCATAGTATTATGTATTATGTTCTCAATTATTCCCAATCCCTTCGAAATATTTTGAGTTCGTACAAAAAGTATAGTACAATTAACTCTGAAAAAGCATATGACCGAGATATAATCAATGCTATTGAAAAGGTGGATAGAGATCATACGGATGCTTTAAAAAATCTGAATATATGGGCTTTCCAATGAAAAAATGACACAGACTCTTGTCTTGTATATGTGACAATAATTTTCATTTATGTACCTTGTCTCATTCAAATCAGTTTTTGAATCATGTTTCTAGCTATCATATAACTCTAACAATGAATATATACAGTGCGTTCATAAAGTGTGAAAACGCTCCATTATCTTACGATATAATTATTTTCAGAGGTAAAGCTCGGACAGGTCGATTTTGTATTTCAGTCTTCCATCTTTTTTTACAAAAAAATAATTTTTTCTCCCACCACCTTACAAGATATGACGTCATCGATATTTTTTTTAAATTGAAAGGGTATATTTTTATATCAAAAATTGAAAGCCCATATTTTTCTGAGTTCAACCATACCACAAACGTCATATCTTACACTTCAAGTTACAGTATACTGAGTATAAAAGAAACCAGTGTTCATATTTCTCAACATTCATTTAATTATTTATTTGCAATGAAAATATCATAAGAAGTAGTGAAAATGAAGTAGATTTGTTATTTGTTTCTTTTCACTACTTCTTATGATATTTTCATTGCAAATAAATAATTAAATGAATGTTGAGAAATATGAACACTGGTTCTCAGTATACTGTAACTTGAAGTGTAAGATATGACGTATGTGGTATGGTTGAACTCAGAAAAATATGGGCTTCCAATTTTTGATATAAAAATATACCCTTTCAATTTAAAAAAAATATCGATGACGTCATATCTTGTAAGGTGGTGGGGGAATAATTATTTTTTTGTAAAAAAAGATGGAAGACTGAAATACAAAATCGACCTGTCCGAGCTTTACCTCTGAAAATAATTATATCGTAAGATAATGGAGCGTTTCCACACTTTATGAACGCACTGTATGGGTAAAGCCTCATTTTGTTCCTAGGTATTGATAAAATGGACACGGAATTGTATCACGAGGCTATTAGGGGTCATTGGGGTCAGTTAGCCCAAGGCATAGAGCATAGAATCATCAGATTGACCCATTTTCGAGAAACGACAATTTTGGAAAAACAATATTTGCAAATTAAAAAATTGGGTAAATTACAAATTTCTAGTACTTTTTGAGCTCTCCAATATTGAAGCTCTAAAACTTTCATAAAGCGGGGTAAGCAGTTAAGAAAGATGTTGTGAACTTACAGCACTTTGAAAATGGCATATGGATATGGCAGTTTTTACCAAAATTGGAAAAATTCACCGTTATTTGATCGTCCGTGAAAACTATCCTACGGTACCGATTCCGTATTATCTTGATCGATGGAGTATTGTCTTCTTCAGTTCCGTATATGCTGGGTTCTTACTTTGAATTGGTCATTTCCGAGATATAAGTGGAAAACTGTAACAATTTCGAGAATATCGAGGTTTTTTCACTGCCAAGAATTCACTAAAACTTCCTCGAGGTTGAGAACTTGGATTCGACATCACCAAACATATACATACATACAAATATAACTTACTCAAATTTCATTAACTTCAGAATTTTCCGTGACACCTCTTTTCCACGACCTACCAACTGGACTACAGGTTCACACGTAAAATTGTTCTAAAATTGTTCTTATCCATCATTAGCAAGAAAAAACGGGGGTCTCAACTTTCCCAAACACTTTCTTAGGTCATCAGAAACATCTCTACAGTCGTGGTGGGAACCGAACCCACCTACCGGTGGACAGAAACTGAAACTTCTACCACAAGGCTACTGTTCTTCCAGTGGTTGTTCAAGCACATTATGATTCTCTGTGTCCACTCACCCTACTCTACCTGAAATATTATTTCCCCCTAGATGTGGGAATGTCTCTTAGTTTCGAGCTAAACCAAACCCATACTCACTCCTCCATCTGGTAATCATTATCCACTGTCAAATGTAATAAACTTCTGAGTTTTTCGTCGTGACACCCCTTTTCCACAAAGTGCCGACTGGACTACAGGTTCACACGTTAAGATTTATTCTCAATCGAATCGTTACTGTTCTTCCAGTGGTTGTTCAAGCACATTATGATTCCCTGTGTCTACTCACTCTACTCTACCCGAAATATTTCCCTCTAGATGTGGGAATGTCTCTTAGTTTCAAGCCAAATCAGACCCATACTCACTCCTCCATCTGGTAATCATCATCCTCTGTCAGATTTAATAAACTTCTGAGTTTTTCGTCGTGACACCCCTTTTCCACAAAGTGCCGACTGGACTACAGGTTCACACGTTAAGATTTATTCTCAATCGAATCGTTTACTGTTCTTCCAGTGGTTATTCAAGCACATTATGATTCTCTGTGTCTACTCACTCTACTCTACCCGAAATATTTCCCCCTAGATGTGGGAATGTCTCTTAGTTTCAAGCCAAACCAGACCCATTCTCACTCCTCCATCTGGTAATTATTATATCCACTGCCGTAGTGTCGCTATCGCTACAATTAGCATCTCTCG